ACCCTGGTATTTCTCGGTGGTCTCCCATCCAAACAGCAGCCAGGGCTGACACTGCTTCGCTTCTGACAAGGTCGGGCTAGCCTGGGCTATCGAGGTCAGGGCATTACCAATACTACAATATAGTGAACATCGTCATTATAAGGGTTTTAAATTATTTAAAGCAGGGTGAGCGCAGTCTGGGGAAGGCACTGTTTTTAGTTTTGTTCTACATTTTCTAACGCATCTATTTTTAAAATCCTTTCTCTTAAGTAACATTTTTAATTTAAGAAGTGTGACATAATTTATAAACTATACCAAACGGATCATAACAGTTAATGGGCTCCATTGGCCAGCCCCAGCTAGCCTGCATGCATGGCTGTTTATAGACCAAGGAAACGGGGATTGCCTTCAACAGGACAGGCCCACAGCACTCTGTTTTTCACTTCTAGATTTCAATATGTTGCAAGCTGCTATGGCTGCATTTTATCTGGCTCAAGACACTGACTGAGCTTCTCTCTTCACCTATCTCTTCAGCTATTTTACTCCGGTATAACTCTTGCCTGGGTCGTTTGGATTCAACTCTGGCACTCAGCTTTAGTCTCTAAGCCATCCTTTGGTCTCAAACTCCAGGTTCAAACTGAACCTGATGTGAGGGTCCAAATTCTCTTTCTAACAAGATTTTGCCTTCAGTTCTGCCTTTTCATTCCCCAAATTTGTTATATATTGATCCTACTTAGTTTTCCCAACACTTCCATATGGTGTGAAGCCATAGGTAGATTAGGACTGGGGACCAATCAGATTCAACTCCTCAGTCAGCCTTGAATGACCTTGGGTGATTCCGCTGACATGTTGGGGACACACCATGTCTGGTACCCTGAGATACTTAGTGGAAGGTCGGGACACAAAGATAGACAGAGGTCCCTGCCACACGGGGGGGGGGGGAGAGTTACGGGCAAAGTGTGGCTTTTGGAAGCCAAAATAGAGACGCCGCGGCGGGATCACATTGATCCCCTGAGCCGCGGCGCATTCCCTTCCCGGCACGATCAGATGCCAGGGGAAGCCACGGTGGGGAAAGGGAGGCTGCCGAACTGCGCATGTGTGAGCATGTGCAGTTCAGCCAGGACCCTGGGATGCGCCAGCAGAAGGACATGCCGGCGATCCCACAGCCGGGCTTGATGCGGCCGTGCTGGAAGGTCCACCTCGGTAGGTGGTTTAGTTTTGTTGCGGCTTTTCGGGTGGAAGGGCCGGATCGGGGATGAGTGCGCAACACTTCCCAGATGTTGCGGTGGGATCGCGCCCGTTTGCTGCGCCCCCGATCCGTCCCTCTCCCGGCCCAAAACCTTTCGTGTGACCGGGGCCAGAGAACAGCAACTAGAGGCTGCCACAATCGATCTGATGACTTGGTACATGGTTATAATTATCACTCCAGCATTATTCTAAGTAGGAAACAATAGTAATCCATTTATCCCAAGATACACTTCTACCATAACTTTTATTAGTAGTTTTAGACGTACGTATGTGTGTGGTGGTTCCAGAAAGATCACAACAAAGGAAGAGTTAAAAAATGGCAACATAAAGAAATGCCCACACATCACTGGAAGGCAGTGACTGAAAGAATGGACTGTTATGCAGCTTACACCGGTTTTATCGGTTAAGTTCCTTCTGAATGTAAGCAGTGTAGTGAAGGACTCCTCCCTTAGTATTCAGGCCAACACAATTTTGAACTAGCGCAGCCCGTCTCCACACGACTACCTACATAACAACTAATATAAAGGGAAACTCTATGGTACGAGGCAAGCATTGTGTAGCCAAGGGCAAGCGTCTCATGCAGTATGTGGGGGTAAGAGAAGTTTTCATGGGGAGCAGGGAGGAGAAAAAAACCCCAAGTCAAAACATGTATTTGCTTTCACCTAGCACATATTTTTCTAGCCACAAGCAGTACATCACGGAAGCTTCTTTCAAAAATGAACACGTTTGCCATCTTATACTCAAACAGGATTTGACAGGTAGAACCATTAGAATACTCTTCTTTAAGAGGCCATTCCCGTGGATGTCACAACACTTCATTAAAGCGTGGGGGGGGGGGGGGGAGTATGCAGATTGGAAACCGGGGACTGCCAAGGCAGGATTTTTCTCTCCCTATTATGTCTTTTGTACCAAAGATTCACAAGCAATTTGGTGGGCCTTGGCTGGCTTAATGATTGTACCTTGCTTCATTATCTGCAATGATGGCCTCTTAATAGCTATCGTGGGAAGGCAGAGAGGGACTCTTTTGGGATCAAACTGCTATTGTACTTCGTTCCAATTGCACTTTTCTCTTCTCTGGGGACTGCCAGGGGATACCAGCATTTCACCACTCGTCAGTTCTAAGGGGATCATTTTAGAGGGGGGAAAGTGCACCTTTCTTCCCCTCTTACAATCTAATTATAAATTACTGCTGTTATAATCCACAGCTGTAGACATTTATGTTGTGAATAGGAAGTTGGGAGATGAGATGCCCATTGCTGATTCAATGTAACATCACATTTTAAAGCCTGTGATAAAAAAGCCCTGGATTTAGCAAGTTCAAATCAGAGACTCAGAGGAACTGAAGCCCCTCTCTAATGCAACACGGTGATTGTTTTGGACAGGCTTATCCAGATTTAGACTTAAACCATGATACTCTTAATAACTGTGGAGCTAAAAATCTCTCCTGTTTCTTTTTCCTCCTGTAGCCATGGTCTTATTTGCTATAGCAGATTTGCTTGCATAATTGGGACGAGACAAAAATAAGTGTATAGTAACCTACAATTGTTGATTGAAGATTGGAACCACATCTCCTCTGATATTGGAAGGGCCAATCCCAAATCAACAGGGCTTGATGCATTTGACACATCCACAACTTTCAGTACAAGGGTCAAGACTAAGACTTGATAGATACAGGATGAGGCCGCAGACAAAATACTAAGCCATGTGGCCAGAGCTGCTGGCTCTTCTTGAAGAAGTGCCCTATGCTCTCACCACATATAGTCCAGCAATTTCCATGGCACTGCTAAGTACAGTGTACACAAATACTATAACATGTGGGGCAAGAACCTTTTTAAATGTGATGCTGGCCATTTGAAATGCTTATGCAAGTAAATACCCTGAAACTCTAAGAGCCCTTCCTTGCCTGGAATTGCCCTGTGTTACTACTGGCTGACACAGCTTGAGCTAAATGGTGCTTCCCAAACACTCCAAGGGTTTATGACGCTTTAGACATTACGGATATTGAGGAGGGGTCACAAAGGTATCAGAGACAGAGTTAACTCTGTCACTGAAGAACCAAACAATTCACTCATTTTTTCAACATCTAAGCATGTGCGTGTCTCCTAAGAGTCTGGAATGGACTGGAGCAGAATACAGCTCCTTGCCTTTGTGTCTGGGGCAGGGTGTTGCCACCACATGCAACTAATCATACAACAGCTGGCCCAGCTACCAGTTGGCTTCCCAGAACAGTTCAAGGTGCTGGCTTCAGCCTTTAAATCTTTATATATCCTGAGACCCCTTCAATCTGGAGGTTCACTTCTATGTCAACATGAGCCTGGGTGTGTAAAGTGCCGGTCAGTTTGCAGCTGATTTATGGCAAATCCACGGGGGCAAGAGACATCAAGAGGTCTCCCATTCAAGTGACTAACCATGGCCAGCCTGCTTAGCTTCCACTATCGGGCTAGTCTGAGAGCAGAAAAACCTTCTTAAAGAAATAAAGAAGGCAAGTGCAGTGACTGGATTCTACAGGGGCAGCAAAATCCACCTGCCTTTAAAATGGGCTTTTAAGCTTTAATGGGACAGATGAGTTATTCACCTGTGTAATTTCACTGATTGTTTAATTTAAAAAAACAACAGGTTATTTTAACATGGCTCCAACCAGGTTATTAACATGATTTCAGACTTTTGAAGCTTTGAATATGTTTGAAGGTAAGTCATTCCCCCCGTTCAGCACCAGTGTTTCTAAGGTATCTCCTCGGCTACTCCCGCAGTTGCCATCTGCTACAGAAGGCCACTTGCTTATACACAGGCACACAATGGCTCTGCCCCTGGGGAAAGGCTCAGTGAGTGACAGTCTTTGCTGCTGTAGCCATTAGCCCATCTATTCAGAGTTCAAAATGTCAGTCTGCATATTTGTTTCAAACCCTCTGGTTTAGGTTTCAACCAATGTTCCCTCTAAGCTGTGGAGTCTTGTGAGCAAAAATTCTGCTTTGTGAGCTACTGGCAATAAAATTGTGAGCAAGCGATTTGGCTACTGCATAAATCAGTTTGCTCTGGAGCCGTCCTCCCTGAGCTGAGACAAAAATCTGTGAGCTGGAGGTGAAAAAACTGTGAGCTAACTCACACTAATTCAGCTTAGAGGGAACACTGGTTTCAACCAAGACCCTGGAGGTTAACACCCGTCCAAAGCCTGATTTTGCAATTATATTAATTAATCCTCTGAATCCCAGAGCCAGGAGGTGACATCAGGCCTCTTTGCCCTGTTGTTGGCCCTCCAGAGGAACTGGCTGGCCACTGTGTGAGACAGGATGCTTGACTAGATGGACCATTGGTCTGATCCAGCAAGGCTGTTCTTATGTTCTCTTCTTATGTTCTTAATGAGAACAGGGCACACTGATGAACTGTTAACTACTATTTGGGCATTGGCTTTTCTCATTGTAACAGTGACACCTCACCTGGGTTTTTTTTTCTTGTAAAAACTGTCCTGAAAAACCAAGGGGGGAGTTAAATTCTCCTGTTGGTCATACATGGAGTGTTAATGAGATTACTTGTGAGTGATCAAAACTGTGGACAAACATCAGGAAATCCCACCTAATTAATCGAGGCATCTCCCGATTTAAGCCACAGCATTTCCCCAGCCTTAGTTAAACAAGATACCTACAGTAGTGTGGTAAATTAGGTAATACTTTTCTGAAACACAAAAGCACTTATGAGGATCAAACATTGCTTGGCCCAAAGAGACAAAGCTACAGAAGTCCTCCGATTCTTAAATAAATAAATAAATTGGGACTTACCAAAAGTTGTTCCAGCTTCTGGCCGACTAACCGAAGACACAATGACAAAGCCGAAGCCTTCATTCTCTCCCCGGCGAATTTCCACATCGTAGGGCTGCACCACCGTGCTGACCACTCCGCTCCCACCACCTCCTCCACTTCCGATTCCACTGGTGCTGCCACTGCCTGAACTGACAGTATTGAGGGAGTTCTGGCTTCCCTGTGGAGTCCGCTTCTCCTCTGTCAGAGAAGCAGGCTGGTTGCTGCTGTGATGCGATGAGGCTGGAGATGGCACCTCGTTCTCTGCTTTTGGAACTATTTAAGAAAGATGCAATTCTAAGTCAACAGTCTTTACAAGAGACTGTGCTTTTCACAAAGTGACTTCAGAAAGAACTCAAGATCGCCAAGTTACTCAGTTTCTGTATCTGGGTCAACTGACACAAATTAGCATCTTGTGCTTGCTCTCGGTGGGGGCACTGGGTGACCAGAGCCCCAAACCCAAAACTGGCCCTTAATCCAAGACCTATCTGTTCAGGAAGACATTCTCAGAGACACAATGCTTTACAACTGCTTCAGTTTTCCTGATGGTTTATTTTGGTGGTTCCACGTGGATTTATATAGACTTTTAATATCAACGTTTCCAGGCCTCCGCGGGAAACAGAATGTGGAACTCCACATTCTGCACAGTGAGTCAGATGTTTTCAGGATGCAGAACCTTCGGTATTAAATATAATTTCAGTAAAAATAAGAGAACCAGCATGGCGTTGTAGTTAGAATGCTGGACCAAGATCTGTTTCAGAGGGCAGCCCTGTTGATCTGCAGTAGGACAGCTAGGTGTTCAACTCCAATAGCCCTTTAGAGCCCAACAAGAGTTTCAGGGGTATGAGCTTTCGAGAATCAAAGATCCCTCCATCAGACCAGGATCTGGGAGACTAAGCTTTCAATCTCCATTCTGCCAGGGAAACCCGCTGGTGACTTTGGGTAAGCCAGTCTCTCTCATCCCTACTTGCCTCACAGGGTTGTTGTTGTGAGGATCTAACGGAGGAGGGGAGAATGACGTTGTAAGCTACTTCAGGTCTCCCATGGGCAGAAAAGTGCAGTATAAATAAATGAATTATTTCTGGGTACTACTATGCTGTCCTCGCCAATAGTACAGTAAATAGCCAAAGGTAACTCCCGCGAAATACCCAGAGACCATTTCCCTGTAGATTGGCGCCATTGCAAAAATATGTTTAAAATATTTTAAAAACTGCACATTCAATTATAATGAAGAAACGATCATGTCCCTGAAAAAGCAGCAACAGGTCCCACTGAGTATTAACAGTCAAAATCATAAGCCGATAGCATTCAGTCTATATTTATGCCAAGTCTGGGCAGCCTCAGCAACAAGCGCTGAAGATGAAACACAAAACCCTGTGCATTGCTATTTTTTGCCACAACTCAGGCTTTTGATCTTCAGAAAGTAGTTCACTTTCATCCAGAGTAAAAATAAAACACCTGCACAATCACATGGCAGCCTACCTGTGTACACCACTTTGCGCCTGACGGTTAAATTGACATGGCCTTGCTTGGCTGCCTGTTGCATAAGCTGGACTACAAGTTGATGCGACTTCCCGACCACGGGAGTCCCATCCACACAGATCAATTCGTCCCCTGATCGTAGGCGACCATCAGCATCTGCAGCACCCAGTGGCACGATGTGACCAATGTAAATCTGTGGAAAATATGCATGTGTCTGAGATCAGAGGCATTGAGCAGTCTCACCTAATCCACAGTTACCAAAGCAGGATCCTTTACTCTCAGACATCTTTTAACCAACTAGACCATGTAATACAGATTGGTGGTGCTTGTACAGCAATTAGCACAGCGGGGTGGTGCCAGCTGCATCCAAAGCAGCAAACAGAGGTTTAGCAAACAGAGAAGCCAGCCACTGTTGACCTGAGCTGCACACCGTTAAGGAAAGGCTCCAAAGAACCAGCCAGCTTCACAGGCAGTGCTAAAGTATCTTTACTATCCCAGACAGTTGGACTCCCCCCAATTGAAAAGGAAAAAAAAAATGAATTGCTCCAACACATTCTCTAAGTCCTTTGTATGTCCATCCCAACCACAGCATCAGAGTTCACGTATATTCCTGCATACTGGGAGAGGGCCCTACCAGTCCTTTAGGGAGCGGTAGGGGTAGATGATCACTGGCATATACCAGAACCTAGAGGAGGCCTCTGTACACGAACCAAGCACCTCTGCCTGCCTGCCATGCTCACAGTGATGGTTACTCCACAAGGGGTGTTGATGCCTTCACATCTAGGAATTTAAAATTCCTCTAAGGCCACCTGCACACCAGGAGGGACCCTAGGTCCCTGTCGTGCATCACACATTTTGTCTTCATTTCTTACGTGTGGAAGTATCGCCCAGGTGAGGCACAGTGTTGTATTACACAGTGCAGGCTGAGCCGACACCAGCCCCAGCAGTAGCACAGAGAAGTGTCGGCTATAATCTGGCTACATCCCCAGAAATACCTCGAGGCTAGAACCTCCAGTTCACTGTAAAGCTTTTGGACTGAGTGCTACTCGGTACCGACCCTATCAATGACAAATTACAGAATTAAAACAGTAGGTTGAATCCTAGTCTGCATGAGCAGAGGGAATCTAACCTAATGAAATGGTTAAGTGATACGCTGAATGCAAAATTGGCACGGTCTGTACCCTTGTGGAATGAGGTGTATGGAGAGCACATAAATTGTCAGTGGTACAGCGTATGTTAGCATGTGGGACATCCTAAATCCAATCCCTGGCATTTCCAGTTAAAGATGCAGGGCTGGAAAAGGCCTCTCTTGGAGAGCAAGTGCCAGTCCAAGTAGGTAATACCGGGCCAGACTCAGTATGGGTCATCTTCGTCCATTCACCTAGGTTTCAGAGCAACGTTCTCTAAAGAATACACCCCTGATGAGGGCAGGCATTTCTAGAATTCTGCCCCCTGAATAGTTAAAGATTCTCCTTCCAACTGGCCAATCTGATATTATTAATGGAGAGTTTTAGTCTGATTAGATTCCGTGCCATCCTTCCTCCTCCTTTGTTTCACGTATTTGAGCCACAGAGTTCTGCTGAATGAGTCTGTGTTTATACAGCTAGACAGCTCAGGGGACTGGTAATGAGATCAGAAGCCCTGGCTTGAGTGTGACCTAGATCAGCAGCAGCCCAGAGTGGCTAACATCTGTTTAATGTTCTGGTCAGCCGCTGCGGTAAAACAGCTCAAGGGGCTCAGCTGGTAGACATGGTCCTCTCTCCCCATGAACTCGGATCAACACTTAAAGCATAGCTGAGCACTGGTTCCGATTAATTTTATTTTTTGCTAGCACAGTCATGAGGTTCAAGCCAGGGAAACAGATAAAACTGTAAAACTGGTTGGAGATTTCAGAAACACTCACAGGTTCCCCAGGTTCATTGCCGCCAAGAATCCTGAATCCAAACCCAGTTTCCTTTCTCCACAGAAAGATATCCTGCTCTTGATAATCTGGAACTGCAATGAAACAGGAATAGTTAATTTTTAACAATGGCTGGACACCCCATTTTTGTGTGTGTGTGTGTGTTGCTCTTGAAATGACAGAACGCACTTAGGATATGCTCTATGAAAACCCATTTTACCCTGGTGATCTGTCTGTACTGAATGGAAGTTGATTATTCAGTCCACAAAATGTGTAACTATTAATTCCATGGAACTTAAAACGGCACAGCTACTGATAAGATTCCAGAAGACACAATCCCAGGCCGACTGTAGTTGATCTCTGTGTATTGTATCAGAGATGCAATACATGCCAGGTAACCCACAGAGGTCGTTCCATATTCCACTTTGCCGTTCACTGGGCCTTTCCCTTATTTCCTCAAGATACCGGGAAAAGGTCATGTCAGAGAGATAATGCCTGAGTGAATTTTGGAAGAAGGCACAAGCAGTTTCAGAGAGATTTATTTCTCAAACAGAAATGTGCTAGGGGCACAGCACGCTGCATGGCTGCTGTTTTAAAGGGACATGGATGGGCATCCAATGCCCATCCCATTCCTCACACCTTGGGTGTGCCAGTGAGTCAGTCCATGCTGGTCCAGGCTTGTTGGTTCAGGGGGCTGCAGTCCCTGGCCTCTCTCTTCTTCTCCCTCTGCTACTGATTAAGCCATACTTGTAATCAGCAAGAAAATATGCCTGCAAAGAGCAACAACCTGAGTTTGTGTGCGTGCATGCAGGCGTGCATGAGAGGGGAGGGGTGTGTGCAAATGCTGCAACACCAAGGCACTCCTATGCTTCTGATACGTTTCCACAACTGTGAAAGGCCTCGGCGTCTCCCACAGATGTGTTTACCTGTCTAGGAAAAGCAGCAGAGGAAGAATAAATCTTCAGGTTATGGCAGAGGAGGGGGGAAACCTAAAAATAAAGAAACAGCCCACTCATGCCTCTGCAAAAGAGAGAGCGAGATGCAAATGTGGAAAGGAGGTGAACAGTATCCACTGGGGAAAAGCAGAATTCTGAGCAAGGAAATCGTGACAACTCTTGTTAATCTCTGGGATCTGCGGCTTTGCCGTCGCCTCTTAGCAGTAATTTGAATCCTCCCCCCTCCAATATCACTTGGTGCAACTAGACCCATCTGCAGGGGGTGTTTTATTGGACTGCGTAAGATCTTGAAATGAGGCTTGCTGCCTAGAAATACTGAAATGCCTTTCAAGATCTGGCGGTTAACCTTACAGATTCACAGTAATTTGATACTAGTCATGGGGTTTTTCTTTTTAGGTGTGGCGACCGACTGTGAATCAACTGTTTGCCACAGTATTATAATTCCATCAGTGTTAGCATCAGCACTAAAACACCCTTACTAGAAATGATGAGTAAATAAAACATTTTTGGGGGGGTCATTAGGCAAATGAGGGTCTATAAGAGAGCATAACTCCATCAGCCACATAGCACAGTTGATTTTCTTTTCATAAGATTGGGGGGGGGGGAGAGAACAAATCAAAGGGCTCTCTGCTGAAACGACTGCTGTACTAATTAACATCTGCAGAGCATCATTTCTTATTGTCAGCATCATTTCTGCTGACAATGCTATAAATAGCTGGAGCGATAGGGCACAACCTATCGGAAAACCTCTTGTGTCTAACAGAGCAGTCCTATGCAGAGTTACTTCAGTCTAAATCCACTGATTTCAATGGGCATAGACTGGAGTACTTCTGTATAGGATAGTACTGTTAGTCTAATAGAACAGGACTAGGAAAGTCTCTCTTTTACACATCTAAGTTTGTATCCATGGCTCCTAGATAGGTTCATGCCTGGTGGTGCTTACTCTCTCCACGCCCCACATGCCCCTTGCCCTTATTTTGGCAATCTAAAGGAGATTATAAACCCTCACCAAACCCTCACTCTTTTTGTTGTGCCTGCCATACCGTGGTCACCATATGAACTCTAAATAGCTGTTCTGCTACACTCACTATTTGGCTGTGGTCATTTTTAGAGTAAAAAAGGAATGTGGAGGGGGGAGGCTGAAATGTTCCCTTCAAGAACCCTTCTTTTTCTGCAGCTGTGACTTCCTCTCTGCTGGTGCTGCTATTTTGGCACCATTTTCCTTCTTCCTGGCTTTCCCTTTGCCTAACCAATCCTAGCCAATCAGGGATGATGCAACAAAAGTAATGATGCCATGTAGCCATTAGCCAATCATATCTAGCTATAGAACCATGATGGAGAGCGAATTAAGACCGAAGGCAGGGCTTGCTGATCATACTCTCTGAATGGAAAACACTTTAAGCCATTGTTTGTTTGTAGCTCCCCACCTGAGAAATGGCTGAAGAGGGAGATGCCCCCTCATAGCTAACAAAACCTTTGGTGATAAGGAACCACCTTTTAAGATGGTGTTTTGTTTTGTTTTTTATGCCAATGTTGGATCAGGCCAAAGGCCCATCCAGTCCAACACTCTGAGTCACACAGTGGCCAGAAATACCAGTGCCATCAGGAGGTCCACCAGTGGGGCCAGGACATTAGAAGCCCTCCCACTGTTGACCCCCCCCAAGCACCAAGATGACAGAGCATCACTTGCCCCAGAGTCCCTATCTATACCTTGTGGCTAATAGCCACTGACGGACCTCTGCTCCATATGCTTATCTAATTCCCTTATGACTCATTCATACGGTCTTCTCCATAACAGGGGGTGGGGGGGGACAATGTAATTGCTGTGGACAGCACTAGGTGAATGTTCTGATTCCCCCTGATGAATCCTGCACAGTGAAATATGTAGGGACTCTATAATAAATCCGTTATCTATCACTTGGCATTTCTTCTATTGTTCTGTTGGCCCATTGCTGGGTGCAGCCCAGTTTTTCTTTTTCCGTAGAGCTTCAAACCATTCACAAGACAGAATAGATGTAGGTGCCTACCACATGATAGCTGCAAATAAAAAATCACTGTGCAACCGAAAATGATTGCATGAATCCTTTCTCCTGCAAGGCTTCACAGTTCAGCTAAATTCAACAGCATGCATTTTTAAAGTGGAATATTTTTAATGGAATATTCAGTTTTTTTCAGCATACATGTTTTATTATTTTAATTTATTTTTGTAATAACATGTAAGATAGGCTTGGCTGACAATACTGCCTTAATTTCCTAGGGAAAAGTGACTTAGGTCCTTTCCACACTTGGATCTCATCCCTGGTTTTATCAGAGTTCAACTCGTGACACAATACCTTGCATTTATCCCTGGTTATAACAGCATCCGTGTATCCCGGGACAAGTGTGGGGCGAAACCGGGGTGACCTCAATGTAATGTGGAAATAAAAATACCCCGAGATAATTACAGGAGTGAACTCGAGTGTAGCGTATAATGTAAGTTTGGGGACAGGGTTGAAAGTCAAGAGCCAATCCAATTCAAATAACCTAATAAAGAAACTAGTTGCCTCCAGTCGCCAGGCAAAGATGTCCACAACCATTGTTCAATGCACAACAGCTCTAATAATCAAATGAAATTAACAAAGATGTTTCAGATTATGTTGTTCATTTTTAAACACAGAATTAATTGTTCCTATTAAATAATATCAGAGGAAGAATTCAGGTTAGGGTTGCCAGCTCTGGGTTGGTTAATACCTGGAGATTTGGGGGGTGGATCATGAAGAGGGCAGAGTTTGGGGAGGGGAGGGACTTCAATGGGGTATAATGCCATCGAGTCTACCTTCCAAGGCAGCCATTTTCTCCAGGTGAACTGATCACTTGTAATCCCAGGAGATCTCCAGCTACCACCTGGAGATTGGCAACCATGATTCAGGTTCAGTTTATATTGCTAATGGTAGTACTTTAGTTCTGTTATATTTCAGTATAAACTTATTAATGATGTAAAATTTAGAACCAACTCTTCAGCAGACCAGATGTCTATAACTTCTGTTCTTTGTTTTAAAAAACTAACAGATTTTGTATTTTCCTGATCAGAAATGATTATTTATTTCCTTCCACAAAGAGAGCCAATATGAATTTTGGAAGTAAAAGAAATATGTGTTCAAGTATTGGCCCTTATAATTAAAGGAAACAGACAGTTAATTGCTTTGAAGAGGAATGTTTGTATCTGAATCATGAGAGTGATTTCTTTGCAGCAAGACGCTGGAGCTTTAGGAACCTTGACTGTCAGCATGTGATGAAGCTGTTTCTCAGCTCTGGTACCTGAACTATGTCAAAGGCAGCATTTATCCCTTAACTCTGACCAATCCAGGTAAACCTTAGATAAAGGAGCCCAAAAGGTACAAGGAGGAACTCTAGGCCATGTGTTCTCAGGTTGTGCTATAATGAGTTTCTCCTAGATCAAGGGGGAAATGGTTGAAGCTTCTGAAGTAGGACTCAGTGCTATCCAGAATCTGTGACAAGGCAAATAAAATAAAATGGGATGGATCAGGAACTCTACACAGAATCAAAATATATGCAGTACCTGAGGTTTTATTTGGAAGTGTATTGTTATCGCATGATGATTTTCATTTTGTACTTTTTTTGATGTGAGTCACCTTGGCGATGCCTTGCAACAAGTGCCAATACAGATAAGTTGGTCCAGCACAAGAAATTTGCATGGTACTCACAAGGATCCCCAATCTTCCCACATCCCCCCCTTCCCTTAGCAGCCATATTAGAACCTGGGATAGTTTATTGCTGAGGTTCTGGGACCCATATGAAGTAACAGCCATGTGGATCAGGAGGCTCCAGGGGAGAGGGAAAAGGGGGTGAAAATGATCCCTTTTGCCTGTTCCGTCAGTAGAGCCTCCCCTTCTGTCTTTCCAAGAACAGGATCACAGTGAGTCCATTCCAATAAGCCTCAAGGAAGCATTTTTCAGATTCATTCTGCCTCCATATCTAGCACACTTAAAGGACAGAGAGAAGCGGAGCTTAGCACATGTACAATGGTGGGTATCGGACAGTTCGTTCAAAACCACTAATTGCATGTACAAACTGCTCTCTACATGGCAACTCTCAGCTGGGTGCAGCAGCAGTCTGTAATTCCATAACGTATCCCTGGA